GGGGATCCACTGATCCTATCACCATCTGCACCATGCAGGGGCTGCAGGCCACACAGAACCATGGACAGGCCTTCAACAGGCACAACTCAGAACCAACCTGGAGGAAACACTGAGGAATGGGTGCCATCTTTCAGAACACAGTGCATTTATTGAATCAGAGACATCACTATGGTGCTGTATTCTCAGTAAGAAGAAACTTGGGTTCAGAAACCAAGGAATGGAAGTGGGCGTGGCTCCATGTCCCATCTCTTATATTCACCCGCTTTGGAACTCGCACTTCTCATCTCCCAAATCTGGGCTTTGTAGTATAGGAGGTCCTGGTTTTCCACAGGGAGGCACTCGGACAAGGGCACAAACAAGAGCCCATCGAGCTACACGTTGCAGTTGCTTCCAGGGAAGTCTGGACAGTGTGGGCCCAGAGACAAGCAGAGGAGAAGAGCACCCCTCTCCTCTCCAGGCAGAGGTGACAGACCCGGATCCCCAGGACGAGGCAGGGCTGCTGTTACACAATATGGGGCAGGAGGAGTTTGTATGGAACCCACAGATTCACTTGGGGGCTTCCTTATTCCACTTGTCCCATTGCAAATGTGAGCAGAATCATCCAACAACCCAGTCTGAGAGAGTTTGATTTCCAAAGGCCCAGACCCCTCAGGAGGAAGGTTTGAGCCACTCTACCAGGTAATTTCCCAAGGCCTCGCTCTTGTGCTCTGACATCCTCAGCGGCATTGGTGCAGAGGCCCTGCTTCTCATAGGCAGTTCCCAGCCACTGACAGGTAACAGCACGGACACTAAGGCAGGCCAATCCTGGGCAACAAGGGACTCCTCTACTGGCCATCTGTGGCCAGAGGACTCCTCCATGGCCTTGCTCAATTCTCCTTAGATTGCCTGTGGTCTAGGATTCATCCAACAAACCTTCTCTCCTTCTGTCCAGCACTGGAGTCAGCCTTGCATCTGGGCCTGACACTTTTCTCAGGGTTCTCTGGCTCCCTCCCCATATTCTATGAAAGGTGTGTCCCCCAATAAACTTTGTGAGAGGCCCTTACCCAGAAGCACTCAAGGAAATCTCTCCCAGATTCCTGACCACTGGAAACTGTGGGAGATGATAACTATTTGTTGTTTTGGGCTGTCAAACTTTACGTTATTTATTATACAGCAATAGACAACTGATAGAGCTTCAAAAGAGAGAAAGAATTACTACACTTTAATTTTAATTTACTCTAAATTAACTAAGAGATATTCACTGTTATTTGGTTTTAAGATTTCAGTACTTCCATGTATCAATAGGATGTATTTTATTAACATTCACAGCAATCTATTTATTTTAACTTCAGTTTCCTACTGTGACCCAATTAAACACAAAAGGAAGATCCTGGCTATGCGAGGATGATTCAGTGACGGCCTCCAAATAACCACCCCTGGTTATTCACCTTCCCCCAGTTACTCAAGCAACACTACTGTAGGTGCTACTGTGAAGCGTTCTGCAGATATAAGGAAGGTCCCAAATCAGTTGACTTTAAGGTCATGATTATCCTGGGTTGGACTGTCCTAATCAGGTGAAGTCTTAAAACAACTTGTTTCTTCCTCAGCAAAGAGATTCACAGTGTGAGCGAGATTCCATGTGAGGGGCTTCCTCCACTGCGAGCTTTGAAAGTGGAGGGGCCATGTGGCAAAGGATGCTGGTGGGCTCCAGGAACTGAGAGCAGCTCCACCCCACCTCCACCCCACAGCTGCCAAGCAACCAGGACTACAATCCTACAACTGCCGGAAACTGAATTCTGCCACCAAGCTCCATGTAAACTTGAAGGATGACCCCAACCTCAAGATGAGGACACAGTTTTGTGAAATCCTGAACTGAGAATCGTTCACGCCAGGTCTGGAATTTTTATTAAGGAAATGTAGTGAAATAAATAGTTGCCATATAAAGCCACTGAGTTAGTGGTTGTATGTTATGCTGTAACAGAAAATTAATACATAGGCTCAACAGATAAGCATATAACATTCTCTCTATTGGAATAAATTAATGAATTGAAATGTACACTCCTTGCATAAAATAAAATCTTTCCTAATTTTTTTGTATTCTTCATTTTATAATTTTTATGCAATGCAATTACATTTCAATACAATCATATTCATGAATTCACCAAAGACCAAACCTAACTTTGTGTCTATTCTATACCAAGTATGTCTTTATATACTGTGCAGTTGGTTCAGTTCCCACACCTGCTTTCCTCATGTTTCCTGCCCTGGGTCTGCAGTCACAGTTTTGGAAATTTCTCTGAGGTCCAAGACTAGGGGGTTCCTCTAGAACCGCATGGCCCTGTCTCTTCCCTGGACGCTCACAGGATGATTTCTTCCCAGAGGTAGAGAAGGAGGTGCTCAGGTTGTGTTAAGTATGGGAGACAGGTGTGGAGGAGCTCACCTATGCCATAACTCCTCCTCTCCCACATCTCCTCAGGCTCTGACCAGGTCCTGTTTTCGTTCTACCCCAGGCAGCCCTGACAGTGCCCAGGGCTGTGATGTGTCTCTCACAGCTTGTAAAGGTGATGTCCTGGAGGGCCTCATGTGGAAGGGGGATGGGGTAGAGGGGACAAGACTGGATTATGGTGATTCTTTGGGACATGTTGGGTGTGTAGTGGGGAGTTCAGAGCATTACCCTTTATAGCCACTGACCTGAATTTGTTCATGACTATTGTTTTCTATAGCGTGAGACAGCTGTCTTGTGAGGGACTGAGATGCAGGATTTCTTCACGCTTCCCCTTTGTGACTTCAAGAGCCTCTGGCTTCTCTTTCTGCAAAGGCATCTGAATGTGTCTGCGTCCCTGTTAGCGTAACGTGAGGATGTGGAGAGACCAGCCCTCCCCCGTGTCTACCATGATCCCCTTCCCCATGCTGAATTAGCTGACTTTACAAAAAGAAAATGACCATCAATAATGTGAATGGGCCTCATCCAATTAGTAGAAGACTCTGTGAGCAGAAACTGAGGTTTTCCAGAGAAGAAGAAATTCTGCCTCAGAATTAGAACATCTTCTTTCTGCGTTTTCAGTCTGCTAGCTTATCCT